CCCCCCGCCGCTGCCTTTGCCCGAGCCTGTGGGGGGGCGCGCGCAGGACCCGCCGCCGGTTGCAGCCTAGGCGCGGGGCCTCTGATATTTAATTTTTAAAATTGCTTTATTTAATTTTATTTATTTTAATTTGACAAGAGAGGGACAGAGCAAGAGAGTGAGAAACAAGCCACCAGGTCCAAGACTCAAACCATGGTTGGCCATGTGGGAGTCCAGCATTCTTAACCACCACACCACCTGCTGGCCCTGACACTTAATTTTTCAAAATAATTGAGTAGTCATCACATTTTTTTTAAAGAAGGGTCTTACTACATTGCAATTCCCTTGCCTCAGCCTTCCAAGTAGCTGGGACTACAGGTATAGCTGCTGTGTCCAGCTGTTAGGATGGACCAGTAATCAAACCTGGGCCTCCCCTGTGGCCTCAGCCTGTAAGTAGCAGCATCTACCAGCCTGTACCACCTCAGCTGGACCAGTAATTTTAGAATGAGAAAGGCAATAGCAGATCTTTACTCTAATTCCAAAAGCCTTAGGTTGTTTATAGGATCCCTTGTCTTGCATGACCCCCTGCACTAGGGGCTCCTGTGGGTTAAATGGTAGCTGGCAATGAGATGAAACAATCTTCCTAAATCATTTAAGATCATTAGGAAGACTGGATTGAAGAGCAGTAGGTAGGCTGTGTCCTTGAATTTCCCATCACTGGTGTGTTCCCTAGCACAGTGGAGATTGAAACAATCCAGGAATCTAGTCTTCCTGGAGGTTTTTGAGAAAAGGATCAAGTCACATTACAAAAAAGTTTTAGGGACCAGCAGTTAGCATAATGGCTATGTCACTGAACTCCCACGTGGTCGACCACGGTTCACGTCCTGGACCCGGTGGCTTAAAATTCATGCCAGGCACATGTGCATGCATGCCCAAAATCCCAAGAGGAGAATGGAGGAGAAGGGATTGCGGTGTGACCATCCCCCCTGGGGGGTGATTTCTCGCTTTCTGTCTCTGTGTCTCTGTCTGGTGAGCGCACACACCCTATAGTGAAAATCTCTCCAAAAAAAAAAAAAAGTTTTAGTGTAGTACTACGGTCAGAATGAGGTTGAGACCATGGATTGTCCAGAAGAGTATTGCATGCTCATAAAGTTCCTTGATTA